AAACCAGCACAATGGACCATCCTTAAAAGCTCAGCTTGGAAGCAAATCTTTTTCCAGGTTTAGAAATAAACTCCATATATATATAAGATTCAGGAATGGTATCCATTACTGAAAATAGGTGAGTCTACATACCTGCTGTCCAGGCCAAAGTCATCTGGCTGGCCTCTCTTTAAATGTTAAACTTGAATTTAAATAAATATCATTCATTTCAATAAAAGAATAAAAGGTAAAAGAAACAGAATTTGGGGGAAACCAGGTTAGATGTGTGTTTGTGTGTATTTAAAGGGCAAGATAAATCTATAAAGGCCAATCAAACAGAACAGGTAAACCTACACATCAATAGCATCACCCTAATGGGAGGCCTTGAAAGAATTAAATACTAATTTTCTGCAGGCATTATGTTCCCTTTTTCCAGAAGCAATTAGTTAATGAGGCAATGCAATCCAGGACCAAATTCTTTTGCATTTCCTAATGTGCCAGATGGCAACTCATTCAGCCTCAATAGCTGGAACAGGAAAGTTTTCAGTTGTGTTTCACAAAATAAAAAGTAGCAGGTGCACCACAAACAAACACAAAATTGCAACACAATGAAAGTAGCAAGTCTGAAGACTGTTACACATGTGGTTAACTAAAGAATGGATTCAATTGTCCTTTTCCTGCATTAAGCGAGGTCGGTAGTCAGAATTTGAAGCTATTTTTTTTTTTCTGGAGACCTGAAGATGCTACAAACTGAACTCAGGACCTTTGGCTCACAAAACCAGCATTAGGACACATTATGCCGCTCATATTTTTTTTTCCCCTTCTTTCATGACACCCTTGCTCAGGAATCCAGGCGGTCATCGACTTGCTTCATTTAGTGACCGTTTGAAGTTACGACAACACTGAAAAAAAGTGACATGACCCTTTTTCACACTTACGACCATTGCAGCATGCCCAGGGTCAGGTGATCAAAATTCAGAGGCTGAGCAACGGACTCATATGTATGATGGTTGAAGAGTCCCAGGGTCACACCCTTTTACAACCTTCTGACAAGCAAGGAGCCAGTCTCACTTAACAACCTGTGTCACTAACTTAACACACTGGACAGCAATGCCCAAAAACCAGCTGGGGGACTATGGGTCGCCCCCCCTCTCTAACCCACCTCACAGGGTTGTTATTATAGGAAAAATAGGAGCAGGAAGATGTGTTGGATATGTTTGAATTATTTGTTAAAAAAAAAAAGAAAATCATAAAGGCAGGACACGATTAATAAAGATAGATAGATAGATAGATAGATAGATAGATAGATAGATAGATAGACAGACAGACAGACAGACAGACAGACAGACAGACAGACAGATAGATAGATGCATCATATGTGTAGACGGCTAATCAAAACTGGCCAGAAGAGAAGGGATTGTGGGGAAATAATGCTGGAATGATAAGAAGGAGTTCTAACAATGACATATTATCTTTTCTCTCCAGCCCTCCCAGCTGACAGAGGAGAGTGTTCAGTTTCAGAAACACACACCCCCAGCCAGCAGAGTTTTGCAGGCAGATTGCTACACACCCACACCCGATATGCTTGTGTGTGTTTATGGTTCTCAAGTGTGAACGTTTCTTAGTTTTTAAGGCAACAGCCCTGCTGGGCCAGAGAAACCAATAGAAAAAAGCAAAATAAATGGTGGGGGAGGGGGTTGGAAAGAAGAAAAGGGATGGGGAGAATATGGCCTGTATCCTGTCTTAACTGTAGGCAGCCTGGTGGAAAGAGAAAGCAAATCTCCCTACAAACAAAGAGCTACTTCATCAGGTTTTTCAGCAAGGCCTGTTGCTGATGGACTGGCTCTTGGTTTGCAGGAAGATTTTTTTTTCTCCCTCCAGCAAAACTGCCCCAGGAGACCCTTTCCTACCTTTCTACTTTGCAACCCTCCTGCTGAAATGCAAACAACTTCCGTTGTCAGGGATCCTTACACCCTTGGATAACCCTCAGGTCTTGCAGGGAGGGGGGGGGAATCTCCCCCTTCCTCCTTCTCCAGCCCCGGCACTCATCTCAACCCCTCCGCCCCCAATGACACGGCGCGGGCAGCTCTGAAAAGCCGGTGACCCCCCCCCTCCCCTCCCCATAAGGAGCAGGAAAAACCCACTTTCTCCCCATCTGCTCCCTGGAAGCCCGGGAGAACAAAAGGACCTGCAGGGATGGTGGTGAGGAGGAAGGAGCGAAGGGATCAATTTTTATCCCGGCGGGGAAGGATCCATGGAAGGAACCGGGGCTCTGCCCGAAGGTTAATCCCCGCCGGGGCCGGAGGAGTCCTGCCTAGCTGCCCTTTCCAATGGATCGGGGCGGAATCCGGAGGGAAAGAAAGCGCAGCCCCGCCAGTGATCGGGGAAGCCTGGGCGGTGGGCACTGCCAAGAGAGAGGGGGGGGGGCGCAGGCAGCCCTCCCAGTGCTGGGGAGGGAGCAGAGGAGACGATCCTCTCCTAGGAGAAACCCTCCCTCTTTCCTTCCCTTCCTCCCCTCCCTCCTCCACCCCCCCACTGCCCGGCCTCGGCGGAACTTACGAAGCGGTTCAGCTGCCGGCGCAGCATGGTGGAAGTGCCGCAGCGCCGGGGAGAGAAAGCCGAGGGGCGCGCAGGGGCGGCGCAGCGGTGCGCTGCGGGCCTGGCGGGCGGACCGTGCCCAGCCGGGGCGAGGAGACCCGCAGCGGTCCGGCTCCCCCGCCCTTCTCCAAGCCCCCGCTCGGCCCCAGGCCGGGGTCACCGGCGGCAGGGCTGCGCGCTGCCTCTTTTCCGCATTGTGCAGCAGCCTCTTCTTTTTCCTCCTCGCGCCGAGCCGCAGCCCCCCTTGCAGGAGCGCCGAGCCGAGCCAACCCGCTCAGGCTGGCCGCAGGCGACGGCGGGGCGGCATCGTTGGAGAGGCGGCGGGGTCGCCGAGAAAAGCGCGCTGCCTTCCGTGCAAGGAGGAGAAGGAGGAGGCGTTTCGGAGGCCGGAACGCCGCCCTGCAGGCTGGCCGAGGCGCAGGCGGACCCAGCCGGCGGAGGCGCGGCTCCCCAGACCTGTCCGTCCCCTCCTGGCCGGGCGCCTCCTTCCAAGCGCGCCTGGCGCACCGCCCCGCAGTTCCCAGCCCTGCCCGCTGCCGCTTCTCCAACAGACCCTCGCGTCTGCCCGCCCCGTCCCGTCCCGAGAACAGCTCGGGAGGTGTAGTGCCGGTATTAGCAGCCCCGGGACGAGCGCTTGGGGCATCTCCCCTCTGCTTTCCCCGGTCGCCCAGGTGCGCAAAGCTGGAGAGAGAGAGAGAGAGGGAGGGAGGGAGGGAGAGGAAGGGGGAGAGAGAGAGAGAGAGAGAGAGATGCGCCTCCGGGCAGGGATTTTGGCCGCCAGGTGCGCCTCTCCCCGTTAGAGCCGGAGCTGTTGCCGAACCCGGGCGGCCGAACCGAAATTGATTCTCCCAGAAATTGACAAGTAAAAAGGAAAAAAACAACAACTCGGAAAGTCCCAGCAAAAGAGCACGGAGATTTATTTTCCCAACAGTTCAGCATTGGGGAAGGAGGAGGAGAAGCGGGGCTTCCTCGCCGATCCGATCCGAGGCGGAGGGTTGGTTGGCGACTTGAACTCGCTGCCCCTCCTCATATAATGGTACAGAGACTTCTGCCTTGGGCAGCGGGCTGGACTAGAAGACCTCCAAGGACCCTTTCAGGCCTCTGAGTCTATGAATAATCAGCTCCAGAGAGGTATGGGGGGGGAGTCTGTTCAATTCTTTGCTCTTACCTGGTGAGGTTTTCGGCAAGGTGCACACCTCCCCCTAGGCTGGGGAAGCTCCCTCTTTCTCAGCCCAGCCTACCTCACAGGGCTGTTGTGGATGAAACAAGCCAGGCAGTGTTCTGAACTCAGCCTGGAGCCACGTGACAGAGAAGGGGGAAAGTAGGGATCTGGCAAGTGAATAAAGCTCATCCAGCTGGGTCGAGGGTGTTCGGCACAATGGCTGAAGTGAGCAGCGATCAACACAGTTTGGGTGCCTCTTCCTCTTCCTCTCCCCAATCAGCAGATTTTCCTGCTGATGCAAAAACTGCCTTGAGTCTACACTTGTTAATTAGCTCTGCCCAACTGTGCAAATACACATTTGTGTGTTTACCCTGTCTGACAAGTGACCGAAAGTTTCTTGAACTGGTTCCTCAAGTCTTGATTTGAACTAAAACCAAGCCTTTTGCCTAAAGGGCTGCAAAATGTCAGGAAAAGGAGACCACCAGGAATGGAACCCAATGCCCAGGTGTGGGAAGACCAATGATTCTTCTTCCACCATTGGGGAGACTTCCCTACCCTTCGCTTCAAGCTGTCTCTAGTCAGCTGGCCCCACTTTCAAACCCTTTTATTTTATTTTATTTCTTACATCGCATTTGGTATTCTGCATTTTAATCACGCCTAGCCCCTTAGCTTGAGTAAAACCCAAGTCTCTTTTGAGCTGAACTCAGGATGGGATCATTTCATAAGCAGCTCCACCTTGTTTTCTCAGCAACTGGAGGGAAGTGGTTTGCTGTGGGTCTCCTTTCATTTTCCAAGTCTAGCCTGTATTCGTGGGATTTCCTTGTGGTCTCTTTTTCAAAGACTGATCAGCCCTGAGTGGGCTTAACTTCCAAACTGGCAGAATCTCTCCCTCCCTCTCTCTCCCTCTCCCCCTCTCTCTCTCCCCCCCCCCCTTGCGTGTCTCTTTGTGTGTGACTGGAGGAAAAGGGAGGAGTGGCCAATGATCCCAATGGCTAAACCTAAATCTGGGGCTGTGAATCCACAGCTCTAGTGATTATTCCAGAAAGAAAAATCTCCTTACACACTGGAGGTGTCAATTCTACAATGAAGACCACAAAAGATTAAAAGGCCTTCCTTTTTTGTCTCCCCCCCCCCCAAAAAAAGGAACAAGCTGATAAGGAGGCCAACCTAACTGGAAGGGAGAAAGTGGAAGGAGTCTTTCTCATTATCTAAGATTTAGAAGGGAATGCTCTTTGGAAGATTCGCAGGTGCAGACAAAAGACTCTCCCAGGCACCCTTTTTTTTTCTTAAATACAACCCACCATTAAAACCCCTTCTGGAATGTGACAAGGGTCAAAAGTTTAATTGGGATTTAAACAGGAGGACACAAAAATCATCTAGTCTTTGGGGAAGAAAGGTGTTAAAATGCTAATCTCTGTGTGAATTGCAGATCGAAGTTTCCTGGGACTTTTTTTTTTTTTTTGCAAGGATTTCCAGAGGGAGATGGGCTTGATTGAGAGTTTGCAAATTCTGATTGGAACCAAATGGGCCGGGCCTTTCTTCTGATCTACTGTCCCATTGCGATGTGCTCTTGCTTTGTTCAAGATGTACCATGGCCTTGTCATCTTTAGACCTGTATTGTAGAGTTGTAGACGCCACGGCTGGGGTCAGAGAACCAGGAGGAGCTAGGAGGAATGATAGAGTGAAGAAGCAGGAATAGATGACATCTCAAGAAGGCCAACCTATTAGAAGATGTCCTGTTTGAGACTTTCTCCGGCCACATGAGGTCCTGGTTTCCTTTCTCCTCCACTGGGCAGAGATGATGCTGTCAGAATGTTGTCAAGAATGCTGGGCGTGTCACGGATTTCCATGGCAAAGTCGCTATGAAGTCAGCATGGGGAGAAGTCAAGGCTGAGGAAACCATGACCAGCTTTTCCAATACTTTCCTACTTTTCTCCATCTTTTTAAGGCCACACCTGTGTCAAGGTAGGGGGCCCTCGAAAGGGGAAAGCAGACAGGGAGATTCTTCTGTGTGGCAACCCCACCAACCTTACCTGCTAGACCACTTGAGGTGTTCAGATGTTCTAGGTTTCAGCTTCCAGGAAGTCACTTTGGCATCCATCATCTATGGAGATGGGGTGTCCACAGGATATGGTCCAAGAAAGTCAAGATGGGGCCCCCAATGGTGCAAAAAAAGGAAATTCCCCTGTGTTTGATGGGTGTTGCACTTCTGCAGCTAAGCTTGTATTGAATGAGGAAGCAGAATTAGCAGGTACAAAACCTGTGTATCTCTTTTGACTTGATGTGAAATGAAGCGTCATGGCTTCCTTCCCCCAAAGGTTCTTGGGACTTCATTAAGGTTATAGAAGTTCTCACTTTCAGAGCTCTGCTAACACCAAGAAGGGGGCTGCCATCTGAAATCTTGGTCGGAAGCTTCTTGCCAAGCTAGTATAAATTTTATATAAATTCAGACAGAATTGAACCTGGCTGATTAAACGCTTCACAATCCGAAGAGGCAATTCCCAACATTTCTTAATATAGCAGGAAAAGATTCCTGCTTATTGACATTTTGGGGTTGGATAGAACCAGAGGCATTGCTGGGAAGGATGCAGCTTCTGTGGTCCTCCTAAAACAGTGGTTCTCAACCTTTCTAATGCCGCGACCCCATAATACAGTTCCCCATGTTGTGGTGACCCCCAACCACTTATACATCACCGGGTGCCAGGGGTGTGGCCAAAGAAAAGGGGGAAAAATGGCGGACAGCCTTGTTTGGCGACCCCCGTGAAATGGTCATTCGACCCCAAATGGGGTCCTGACCCACAGGTTGAGAACCACTGTCCTAAAAAGATATGAATGATGATAAGACTTAGCAGGTGGCGATATGAGCTGAGCTCAGAAGCTAGGTTGGCTGGAACTAGGTTAATTCCTGGATGAGGGACCATGAGCAGATTGAAGGCTAATGGCCATTGCAGGACGACAAGAATAAATCCCTTCCGTAATGTGGTTGAGAAAGTTGCCCAGCTGTGCCGTGATGTGTCTTCCACGAGATCAGCAGAAATGGAACTTCATTGGAGATGCCACCTCATTTCTATGGCTAAATCAGAATGGTCCACTGGAAGACTAGAAAGGCTAGACTAGAAAGCCTAGAACTCTCTGATGGTTCCATCTCTGGAACTGGTCATGTGATGGATACCTTGGATGAAGGTGTAGGAAGGGGTTCCATATCTCCACAGCTTCTCAGACTTTCAGGTCTGCGGGCACAGCTGTCTTAACAATGTTCTGCATTCAGAGCCCAGGAGAGAAGTCTTCTTCTCCACTGCTTCCAGTCACTAGTCTTGATTCCCATCGTCTTCCAAAACCAAGTCTTTGGAAATGCTTGAACGATTACTGTATCCATTCATATTTTTAGTTGTTTTTGTCATGCTGTGCCTTTGATTTCCAGCTCTGGGTCAGCTAGAGTCAGATGGATGGGAAAGTTAGTCCAATGAATTAACTAATTAATTAAGTAGCACTTCTGCTTTCAACCAACTTTCCTTTGTTAGAGGACTCCATGGAGAAGCAGGGAGTCAAGCTAGATCTCCTCATTGGCATTATGTGTCTGTTCATGGTCCTCTTGATCTTTCTGATCCTTGGATGCCTCTTGCTCCACTTCAGACTCTTCAGTAAAGACATGTGAGTATGAACACCCACCAGTGGCTGTGAGGAACTCAGCCTCTGTAGCTGATAGAATGAATCATAGTTTACATCCTGGCTCAGCTGCTGTCGGATAATATTTATAGCACGGACTACCCGTGTTTAATCAATCCACAGTGAAGCAAACCTTGACTTAACATAATAGGTTATCCTCTCTTATGGGGTGGAGGTAGCTGATTCTGCCTGCTTTGGGGCCACTGATGGGAACATATCAGGAGAGGCTGTCCATGTGCGGACCTCTGGATGGAAACATCTTCTCCTCTTGGATGATGCTTGGAGTCCTGCAGAAAATCATGTGTTATGGTGATGCTCTTCCTCCTCTTGTTTGCTTGAAGGCCCTTGAAGGAGGATCTGAAATCTTACACCATCCAGACCCACTGTGTGGAGACAAAGATTGTCCTCACTCCTCAGACCAACCAGTTGACTTCTTCTGAATGGGCAGCACCTGAGAAACCAACAGCGGCTGTGTCCAAAGCCTGCAGCTCCACATCACCAGAGCCCACACCCGACCATAAAAGTGCCATCAGCTACATTTATCAGAGCCATTCCTCCGAAAGTCTCCACTTGGATGAAACGGGAAGCATTTACTCACTGGAGCATGTCCAGGACCTGTACAGCTCCTCCTGGAATGATTCGAAGGAGTCTCTCACGAGTAGGAACTCCCAAGAGGAAGATGGTGAGGGAAGTAACGAGTCAGGAAGCATGATACTTTGCACCATCCACCCCATGTGATGAAGGAGACCAGCCATTCCAGGAAGACTGGTGGACTGGACTGGCTTCCTTCGCTTCTGTAGAAGCCACGGCTTGGACTTGAGGGTCAGAACCTGCCATTACGCCACTTTGAAAGGGCCTCCAATCTATGGCTGGCCTCCATCTCTACTAACACTTTGGAGAAGTGTGTGGGAAGCCAACCTTCGTATCACTTTGTTTTTCTTCTGGAAAGAAAGAAAGCAAGCATTGGAAGCCTCCTAAGATGCTGTTCAAAGTAGAGAAGAAGAAGGACTTGTCACTGCGAGTAGAAATCCAAGGCAAATTTCCACTATGGGGAAGGAGATGACCTATTTGAGGAATTAAAAGATATAAATAGAAATGCAAGGGGAAAACCTTCTAATTAATGACATGGAAACGAATGATGGCAAGCGATTTTACTTTTTTTTTTTTTTTTTTTACCAAAATCCAAATTGACTGAACAGCTGGACTGTCAGTGAACAAGGAATGGCAAACAGGAAGGAAGGACAGGCTGATGGTCCACAAAAAAGGGGAAAAAAAGGAACAGAATGATCAGCAAAGGGCCTGATCAACGGGATATTTTAATTGCCTTTTCTCACTCACCATCCAGTTTGAAGAGCCTGCAGTTAAAAGAACTCATGAAACAGCCTCCATGTTCCTCTTTGCTGACAGTAAAAAGCTATATTTACCTCCTGCTTGGATAGTTGTATTTGTTTTGCACCAAAAAACCCCCAGATTTTTGATTCAAGCATAATTCTTTTCTCCATTCTCTCAGTGCTTCAATAACATTTTGGCATATTTTTAGAGTTTCAGAAGTGGATCAGCTTGTGTCCTATATTCCTTTGCAAATATTTTAAATTCCAAAACCTCGCTCAAAAAGCTACACAACTGAGTGTCTGTCTGTCTGTCTGTCTGTCTGTCTGTCTGTCTCTCTCTCTCTCTCTCTCTCTCTCTCTCTCTCTCTCTCATCTATCTATATCTACATCTATACTATATGTACATCTTAATCAGATTTTGAAACTGCCCATCTCCTTTCCATAGAGACTCTGGGTGGTTACCAATAAAATATTTAAACATATTTTAATATGCTAAATGCCCAAACATTGGCCAAGGAACATCAAATGTGGATAAACGTTTTGAAAACCGTCTCTTCTGTTAAGTTTTCCTTTCCTAACGGAAGCTGCCAAACTTCTTAGGGGAACATATATATATATAAAGATATTGATTTCTGCTTCACTTTATTGAATTTCTAGAGCACCAGAATCTATGTGGGTGCTGCAGAAACTCATCTTTGGATTTTTCTAGGCTTGGGGCATTTTGACCCGTAGTGCTGGAGACATGCAGTTGGGGGGGAAAAATTATAAGAAAACGGGAAAATAAAGGTGCAAGGCAAAAGGCGGACACTAGAGGGTGCTGTTTTCTCAGCTGATTCAAAGTGGATGAGGTTGAAACTGGGTTAAAAAAAACCCAGAACTTTGATGAAACCAGAGATAAGGGAATTTCTCCAGAGGTGACCTGCTCTTTAATAAAACACCCCCCCCCCAAGATTATACTCCCTTTTTCAAAGAGTCGTAGAAGCCAGTTGCATTCCCTGGCCGGCCTACCTCACAAGGGTCTTAGTAAGGTGCAGCATCTGAAAGGGAAAATATCCTGCCAAAGTAATGAATACATTTTACCTTGCAAGTGGTCACCTAACTGTGTCTTCCATGCACTCAGAATTTAGGGCTGGATGGTTTTGCACTGTGAGGAGAAGAAAAAGAAGGGAGGAAGGGGGAGAGGAGGGGGGAAGGTAGGAGGAGGAGAAAGAGAAAGAGGAAAGGAAGAGGAGGGGGGAAGGAGGGAGGGAAGGAGAAGGAGGGAAGAAGAAGAGAAGGAGGAGATTTCCAAAACATCCTAGTAATAGTAATAGTAGTAAAGTTGGAAGGGACCTTGGAGGTCATCTAGTCCAACCCCCTGCTCAGACAGGAAACCCTACACCATTTCGGACTAATGAAACTGAAAATCCAGTTTCAATTAATGCAGTATCAAAACATAAAAACACTGGTGAAGTTACAGTCTTCCCCAATGGCTCCCTGCCACTTCTAACCAACTTTATATGTGGGACATGTTCCTCCAGGATGTCCTCCTTCAGCCAGTTTGGCATGAGGGCGGCGGTGGGGGTGGGAGATGATGGCTGCCAATTAGATTAATCCATTTCCATCAGATTAATCCTCGGACTTCTGTGAATGAGCCTCTTTAATCTGTTGAAGGCTTGGGACTTCCTGGACTGAATCTCCAGTGGGTACATGGTGTGAAAGATTCCCGTGGCTACTGGTGGATCGATCCCAGAAGACTGGAGACCCAAAGTGCAAAGCCTTTGGGCTTTCATGGATCCTTCCACACTTAAAGGGATCGGATCACAGGGAAAAATCATTTGAAATCCCTGCGCTGCATGTGGTTGCATGGCTTTAAAGTTCAAATAACTTGTTGCCGTGTGCCTGTGGACACACACATACACCCGCACACACACACACCTCTCTCCAAATATCAGTCTTGTGAAACCTGAACCTTGTTGTTTTGACTAACAAAACGGAACTGACTAAGCCGCCCGGAGAAAGACAGTTTTTGCTATATTTTAGACCGCCCTCGGAAAGATGTTATCACCCTCTCGTGGATGCTCCATTAAACATCATCCTGCTCAGCATTTCATGCTTCCTGGCTGGTGGGGCTGTAACCAAGATCAGTCCCCCCCCCACCCTGGCTTGTTTAGTAAGGATGAAAAGATAGGCAGGGGGTGAAGCCCACCTCCGATAGATGCCAACCCATCAATCTGATGTAAATCGATGCTCTTTGATTTTGAGTTGCACAAATAACGCAGCAAACTTAAATTGTGGTTGTGCCCTTAATAATGTATCCAACAGGGGTAGAAACTCAGCTTTGGAGTCTTTATCCCAAAGGGAGATTAACTTACTGCAACTCTTGCATAAAGTTGCTTGCCCTTCTGCTTTTGGGTTTTAATTAGAGAGACCCCCTCATCGCCCGTTAAAAAAAAGTAGGGTTTCAACACCCTGCCCCCCCCAAAGAAGTTTCTTCTTCTTTTTTCCTCCTGTTGTGCATCTCCACGATCATGGAAATATTTATCAAATACTATAGCTATGGAGACATCAGTGCACATCCTCTCTGCTTACTGTACATTCTCTGAAAAGAAAAGCTGGGCTACACATGGACATAACAATGGTGGCGATAAATAGGTGATTCCAGTTCGGGAGGAGAAGACATAGAAAAGTTGGGAGAACTTCAGGGATAGTGAAGGAGAAGCTCTCAGAAGGAAACTCATGGCTGCTTATTTAGGGGAATGAAAAGACCCACACCATCAGAATACATAATAATGCAGTTGGAAGGGACCTTGGAGGACTTCTAGTCTAACCCTCTGCTCTGGCAGGGAACCCTATACCAATTCAGACAAATAGCTGTCCAATCTCTTCTTAAAAACCTCCAGTGATGCAGCACCCACAACTTCTGGAGGCAAGCCGTTCCACTGATTGATTATCCTCACTGTTAGGAAGTTTCTCCTTAGATCCAGGTTGCTTCTCTTACTTACTTCCCTTACTTCTTGTCCTGCCTGGAGAATCGCTTGACCCCCCTCTTCTTTGTGGCAGTCCCTCAAATACTGGAAGACTGCTATCGTGTCACCCCTAATCCTTCTTTTCTCTAGACTAGCCAACCCCCAATTTCTGCAACAATTTCTTGCAGGGGATTTAAATCTGAAAGAAAAATACACTTCGGATATACCTGCTTGCACAATCTGGGTGGGAGAAAAGGAGCCAGATCAATCCATATGCAGATTGCATCTTTGTCATCTCTGCAGAGAGGCTTTGTCCCTGCTCAAAGGCAACCCTTCCACAATTTTTTTTTAAAGCACCCTCAGGATGTTTTAAGCAGCCCAGCAATAAGGCAACAGGTGCATTTGGGGGAGAGTTGCCAAGGCCCTCCAAACTACAGACAATAAAACTCTTGAGTGAGTCTTAGTCTTCAGCTCCAAAGTTGCCGCAAGGGGGAAAACTACATCTTTAAGCAGCAAATATTTTTTTTTAAAAAAATATTCAGTTGATTTGGTCCTTCTGCCCTTATTTGTTTGTGTGTGTGTGTGTATGTGTGTATGTTTAAATGGCCTCTATATATTTTGTTTTTCTTCTGGTTTGCATTAGCATTAAAACAACGTGTGATTTTAGCTGCCCAGAGTCGCTCCACTGTGAGATGAGCAGCAGATTAATGTAATAAATAATAATAATAATAAATATACATGTTAGCAATAGGTAGTTCATTCTTGATTCCTTTCAGCCACACGCAAAACAGTTTCTGTAACTAGTCAAAACTCTTTTTTGTGGGGGGGGGGAGAAAAATAACAGCTTTATCCTAATCACCTGCAGAAATGACCTCTGAGGGCCCAGGGCTGAATTTAGCCCATTTTTAACCTATTGAGATTCGCTCAAGTGTCCACCCATCCAGCTCCCTCCCCAGATGAGTTTTAGTTGTGGGTTCCTTAAGGGTTTTTTTCTCCTTGTTTGTTGAGGCTGGACACCCTGACAATTTGCACCAAGAAGAGCCAAAATTTGCTAAGAAGAAATTTCTCTATCAGAAAGGGGGGGGGGTTTACCCGGCTCCCTGTAGTTTTTAGTTTCCATTTGGAGGAAAATGGAGACTGCAAAAGGGGAATTCCTCTCTCCCTTCCAAGCCAAGGCATTGCAATTTTGCAAGGAGATGGTGAAAACAAAACAAAAAAACCCCACATACACAAACACGGAATTTTTCTGGAAAGCCCTTCGTTCTGGGGACAGTCGTGAGTTGCCTAAAAGCAACATTTCTTTGCAACCTGGGGAAGAAAAACACGCAATCGCTACGTGTACTCTTTGACTTAAAATACAGGCAGTCCTCGACTTTCAACAGTTCATTTAGCAACTGCTCAAAGTTACGGCGGCACCGGAAAAAAGTGACTTATGACCGTTTTTCGCACTTACGACCATCGTCATTTTCCCACGGTCACATGATCCGAATTCAGAGGCAACTAGTTCATATTTGTGACCTTCGCCGTATCTCAGGATCAGGTGATTCCCCCCCTTTTGCAACCTTATGGCAAGCAAAGTCAATGGGGCCAAACTCACTTAAACAAATGTTTCACTTAGCAACATCCCTTTGGGGCTCAATTGTCGTAATTCGAGGACTAGCTGTATATCCCCCCCCCTTGTGGCGTGGTATACATGGGCAGCTTTCTTTAAAAGTTTTTCAATTTATTAAAATTTATGCTCTATTCCTCCCCTGCCCCAGCCCATGCAGTACATGGGCAACTTTTTTTTTTTTAAAGTTCTTTAGGAAAATAACTTTTGGGGCGACAGGAAAGTGGCTCTATCTTTGCAAGATTCCTGCCCCAATCCAGGAGGAACTTTGGGAGAGATTCTGCCCGGCTGGGCAATTGCATCCATGAACAGTCCGGAGGAGAAAGTTAAAAATAGCAGACAGTTCTTGGGGAATGACTTTACATCCCAAATCTTCCACCATCTGTCTGCTCTTCTCCTCTCCCCCCCCCATCTCCTGACCCCCCCCCCAGATCCGCCCCCTCTTCCCACAGGCCCAGATTGTCCCACGTTTCTCTATCTGGTGAGGAGGGTGAGGAGGAGAAGAT